AAGCGCGTTGGACTTCCATTTCGTGCTTTCGGATCTTATCTGGAAAGTTCCTGTATCAGCTGATGTTATTACTTTTAAACATTTCTACTCCATTGGCAAACGTATAAATATTTTTCACAATATTTAATAAGTGATGTCAAACGTTGCGTCCCTGTCGTGCAGTGGATAGCACTTTGGATTTCTAATCCAAAGGTCGTGGGTTCGAATCCCACGTGGTAGAGCGTTTGTTTTTTCTTTTAAACATTTCTACTCTATTAGCAAAAGTATACTTACTAGTCACATTACATCCTAAGTAAAGCTAACCCATAATAACCTGTAGCGCAGTGGATAACGCATTGGATTTCTAATCCAAAGGTCGTGGTTCGAATTTCACCAGGGACGGGCGTATGTTATTTCTTTTAAAAATTTCTACTTTATTGGCAAAAGTATAAATAATTTTCACGTTACATGCTGAGTGAAGGCAAACCGAATGTCTCTGTAGCGCAGTGGATAGCGTGTTGGACTTCTAATCCAAAGGTCGTGGGTTCGAATCTTGTCTGGAATGGTTCTGTATCAGCGGATGTTATTACTTTTAAACATTTCTACTCTATTAGCAAAATTATAAATACTTGCCACGATACATCCTGAGTGAGATTAATCTATAAGTCCCTGTAGCGCAGTGGATAGCGCGTTGGACTTCTAACCAAAGGTCGTGGTTCGAATCCCACCAGGGATGTTGGTATGTTATTTCTTTTAAACATTTCTACTCTATTGGCAAAAGTATAAATACTCTTCACATCACATCCTGAATGAAGGTAATCCATATGTCCCTGTAGCGCCGTGGGAAGCGCGTTGGACTTCCATTCAAAAGTCGTGATTTCGAATCTCATCTGGAATGGTTCTGTATCAGCGGATGTTATTACTTTTAAACATTTCTACTCTATTAGCAAAATTATAAATACTTGCCACGATACATCCTGAGTGAGATTAATCTATAAGTCCCTGTAGCGCAGTGGATAGCGCGTTGGACTTCTAATCCAAAGGTCGTGGGTTCGAATCCCACCAGGGATGTTGGTATGTTATTTCTTTTAAACATTTCTACTCTATTGGCAAAAGTATAAATACTCTTCACATCACATCCTGAATGAAGGTAATCCATATGTCCCTGTAGCGCCGTGGGAAGCGCGTTGGACTTCCATTCAAAAGTCGTGATTTCGAATCTCATCTGGAATGGTTCTGTATCAGCGGATGTTATTACTTTTAAACATTTCTACTCTATTAGCAAAATTATAAATACTTGCCACGATACATCCTGAGTGAGATTAATCTATATGTCCCTGTAGCGCAGTGAATAGCGCGTTGGACTTCTAATCCAAAGGTCGTGGGTTCGAATCCCACCAGGGATGTTGGTATGTTATTTCTTTT